AAAATTTTTGAAAAGTGTTTTTAGAAAACCAAAAATAAGCAAGCTGAATGATATTTGTGAGGATTTGGGTTTAAGCATTAGGGTTGCACAACAACAAAGGAGAAACCAGATAGAGAGAGAGATATATATATATATATATAACTTCAGTCGACTAGTGATAATTGTAACCACAGGACAATGAAGAACAGCGGTGGTGAGGAGAAAGCAGCAGCGGTGAGTGGAGAGCAGCAACGGCAAATGAAGAGCAACGGCGGAAAGGCTAATGGTGGTGACAACAAGGCTATGGTAGTGTCGATCAGCAAAGTAAGGAGGAGGAACAAGAATAGAGAGTAATGACGATGATGAATGAGATGATATGGACTATAAGCAATAGAACTACTAATTACAATATAGACTTGTGCTTTTGAACTGTCCAAACTGGACATAGGGATGTAAATTTGGCCTAGTTCGGTCCGGCCCATGTCGAGCCTCATAGGCTTCTGCCAAAATTCGGGCCGGGCCATGGGCCAAAAAATTAGGCTCAGGCCCAGGTGGTGTTCACCTTGGTAAGCCAAGCCTCGAGTCAAGCTGGTGGATATGAGCTTAGACTTGGGCGGGCCTAACAATTTTTTTGTTTTGTATTTTAATTTTTTCTACCAAAATTTTATTAATTTCCACTAAAAAAGGTATTGGGCATCGGACGGGACCAGACGGGTCTTGAGTGGGCCTTAAGCAAGCCACGGGCTGGGGCGGGGCTTCAAAATGATGTCCTAGGACCAAGTCCAAAGTCTCGGGCTAGGCTCGAGCCCGGGCCCACTCCAGGCCACAGACAAGCTTCGGCCCACCCACAGGCCGCAAGCCATTTTTACACTCCTAATTGGACGATTCAAGAAGAGTTTCGTCAAAGATGACTCAGTATCTCTAATGAAGATTCTTGAACGGGTCTAAAGCTATTTATGCATACATGCACCATTAATGATTGCATCACGATGGTGCAAAATCAGTACTGTCAAGCATACTAGAAACATATCTAGTATGAAGCATATTAATGAAGAAACCAAAAATTTCTATAATACTCTTGATAGATTATGATAGATTCAAGAAATACATCACTCTCTTAAATCAATCAATAGAGACAAAACTATTATGCCTTCAAATGAAAGCAAGCACAAAGAAAGTCAAATTTAAAAAATAAAATGACAAAAAGAGAAAAGAAAAGAGAGGGGCCATAGTAATATCAATCTATTTACATCAAATATTAAAGAGCACCTCAAAAACATAAAAATAAATAAATATGTCACGACCCGCTCTCCGCACCCATGGGTTAAGCATCGTGATGGCCAGTAATTGAGGTTACCTACGGCCAATTCTTAATAAAAAATAAAATGACAAAAAGAGAAAAGAAAAGAGAGGGGCCATAGTAATATCAATCTATTTACATCAAATATTAAAGAGCACCTCAAAAACATAAAAATAAATAAATATGTCACGACCCGCTCTCCGCACCCAAGGGTTAACCATCGTGATGGCCAGTAATTGAGGTTACCTACGGCCAATTCTTAAACAAAGAAATAAACGCAAGCGGAAGTAATATTTAAATAAGGGTACAAAAATAATTATTGGAACTTCTATTTTTATTACAAAATTTATTGACCAAAAAGGCCGATATTTACATATAAAAATGTCAATAAAAGTACTGTGTGTGTCTATTCCGCAGTCCCGCATCTAAGACTTTCCATAAACTATTTCTAAATTGCATTGTTTCCTGAAAATTAGTAAACAACTATAAGCACATGGCAGAGTGAGAAATATTATACCAAGAGTATAAGGGCACGAAATAACCATGGATAGTTATGTAGCCAAAACATTTACATAAACAAATCATTTGAGTAACAGAAATTGCTCATTTAAGTAGCAGAACTAAAATACAGATATTATGTAAATATATCACCATAACCACAGTACTGAACAGAACAGAACAGAGGTCACAGAAGTGACAGTCAGAACAGAGGTACGGATTCAAGAGGTGGCTCGTACGGATTCTAGAGGTTGCTCCCACAATAGTGTAGCACTTACCTCCGCACAACACTTTGGTCCGCATAGAACAGAGATACGAATTCAAGAGGTGGCTCGTACGGATTCTAGAGGTGGCACCCACAATAGTGTAGCACTTAGCTCCGCACAGCACTTTGGTCCGCACAGAACAAGGTCAATGGATCCATGACAAACAAAGGATCACAAAATGGTCAAACAGAGGCCAATGGTTATTTAAGTCCCCCAAGACGTGGGACTCCCGTGGTGGTACTTACAAAACATAATTGTTTATAAGGTCATAGTCAAATATTCTTTAAAAGTAAAACAGACATATTCATGGGTTTCCTTTTAAGCAAATAGGGTTCAGTAGATAAACCACGTAACTGAAACCTTTATAAAACATAACTTTTATTAAAAACATAACTTGTATAAAACAAATTTTGATAAGTTAAAACATATGTAAAATACATTTTAGTAACTTAAGGTATAATATAACTCACCTTAATTTTAATACCTTACTCTTTCTTTCCACTATCGAAGACCCTTTTAACTTTCACGATTTTTTTCTTCTTTCTCTCTTTCTTTTCTTTCTTTCCTTCTTTCTTTCTTCTTCCCTTTCTTTCTTTCTTTTCTTTCTTCTTTCTTTTTCCTTTTCTCTTCCTCTCCAGGTGACACGCCTCCCTTTTATAGGGAGGTAAGGCGCATACGTTACTCAAATCAAGATTCGATTAATAATTATATAGATTCGTTCTTATCTTTAATAGATATTTAAGATAATTACTTTTTTACTTAATATTTTAATATAATTATATAAATAATTTAATTTTTAATTAAATTATACTTTATCATATACTAATAGAAAATTATTTATTTATTTTAGTACCACACCCATTATTATTATTATTATTATTATTATTATTATTATTATTATTATCTATATTATTATTATTTATATTTTGACCCCTAAATTTTTAATAATTATATTATTTTACAAAATGACACATAATAATATATAACAAATTATATATTTTTTGAACTGAGATTAAATAATATCAGTATAAATTCTACAAAATAATTAAAAATTTGAGTTGTTACAAAATATATATATATTATTTTAAAAATTAATACATTTCTCATTAACTAGCAATAGCATTAAAAAAGTTTGGCAAGTACTATCACTACAAAAAAAGAATTGCTAGTGTAATTACTAGAGATAATCAATGAAAAGTCATATAACAAAGAAAACAAAATTCTGAATGTTATTTCTTTACACTGTATTTGGTTGGGGGATTTGAGGAGGGATTTGGAAAGGGAAAGGGAAAAGTTAGGTGAAATGTGAATAAAATATACATGCATTTCACCTAGTTTCACACACCTTTTCCCTTTCCCTTTCCATTTCCAAATCCCTCTCCAAATCTCCCAACCAAACACAGCATTAGTGTAATTACTAGTATTTGAAGTGCCTAATGATTAAAATATTAGATTCAAAATTTTTGTTTCATGTCCTTCTGGTGTTTTATGGGCCAGTTCCGATTCGTAGCTCGAAATTCGGAGGCTCGAATTTGGCTCGACATCAAAATGACGTCATTTTGTTATTTTTTTTTTCTTTTTTCTTTTTTTTCCCTTTTCTCTGGTCTGAAACTGAGACGAAGAAGAAAGAAGAAAGAAGAAGAAAGAAGAGGAGGGGAGGGGATGGAAGAGAGAGAGATCAATCTCCGAATTTGAACATGAATTTTTTGTTCAAAATCTGATGCAGATCCAGATCCATTTTCATCAACATCAAAAAAAAAATTTGTACAAATTTTTTTTGTTCAAAATTTGCAGACTCAAATCAGATTTTTTTTTATCATAATCTAAAGCTGTTGTACAAATTTTTTTTGTTCAAAATCTGATGCAAACCCAGATCCATTGAACAAATTTTTTTTTTTTATCTATCCAGATCGAATTCTTTTTTCAACAGCTTCAGATTTTGAACATCATCATCATCTTCAGAATTGCAATTAAACTCCCATTTTTAATTCAACATCTGGATCAAACTCCCATCTTCAACATCATCATCTTCATCAACAAAAAAAAAATAAAAAATTCCTCTGCAGATCCGGATCATCTTCATCATCTTCAACATCTTCAACATCTTCAACATCATCATCTTCAACATCATCTTCAACATCATCTTCATCATCTTCATCAACAACAAAAAAAAATTCCTCTGCAGATCTGGATCAACATTGTCATCATCAAAATTTGTTTTCTTTTTTTGCAGATCCAGACTTAGAAAAAAAATGAACAGATTTTTTTGCAGATGCAGATCCAGACATTATCCAGATGCAGATGCAATTTTTATTTTATTTTTTTGCAGATCTAGATTTTTTTTGTTCATATTTTTTATCCAGATGCAGATGTAGATTTTTTTTGCAGATGCAGATCCAGACATCAAATTTCCCTTCTCTCTTTTCTCTCTCTCTCTCCCTCCTCTTCTCTTCCCTTCCCTTCCCTCTCTGTGTTCGAAGGAATGAAGAGGAAAAAATGAAAACGAAAGAAAGAAGAAAAAAAAAAAAACACTGCCCAAAACGACATCGTTTTAGGCAGTTCGGGCCATTCGAGCCAGACCAAATTTGAGTCACGAGTCATTTTTCTTTATGGGCAACCAAACATTTTAAGTAATCTTTTCTGATTCTTGCTATAATTGTCGCATAAATTAGGTTATAGTGCAAATGCGGCCACAAAGTAAGTATGAGGAAGAAAGAGATTTGATAGTTAATGGTAACATTAAATAGTAATTTTATAATCTGTGTGCTTTCATTTTGTTTTTATTTTTTGTAGGAGCAAATTAAGCATGCTGACAAGCAGCAATTCATGTATCAGTGTCACTATTCTTTTCTTGAGGTTAAGTTCTTTGCATAAATTGGCCATAATTAGGTAAATTACTTGATCCAAAAATAAATTCCAATCCAATCAAAGTCATATAACAAGAGATAATCAATGAATTACGACAAGTGCTGTTGAATTTCATATAATGTATACAAAAAATGAATTTCACATAATGTATACAAAATGAAAAATACAGGGATTTAATCATTTGGGCATAAAACAGAGCAGCAACCAAATCGAAAGCCTTCAGATCAACGAGAGAGAGAGAAAGGAGGTATAGATGTGAGCCTTTCTACCTTCTCTTAATGCCTTCGTCTTGATCTGGACAAACGAAAATCAACCAAATCAACCAAATTAACAAGATTGGAAAGGAAGAGCTTCAACCTAATCAGGTTAAATCTCAACCTACTGCCATAAATCTGAAAAATCCTATACATGTGACAAGCAAATTCAATGAAAGCTCACGAAGATTTGAATGACAAATCAAATAAAAATAAATAAATACAATAGATCTGCTAATAAGTCTTGTGAATCGATAGTAAAAAAGCAACGCCACTGAAATCAAGAGCCCAATTGGATCAGAAAATGTTTCAAATTCAGTTAGAAAATTCCTCATCAATGTATGTACAGGTCTCGTATGAATAGAGAGAGAAGAACCATGTACTGAGAATCTTCAATGGAGCTTCGCACTTTGATCGGCGATCGGTGGAGAGGGTAGAGAGAGAGGGTAGAGAGAGAGTGATTAGCAATAGTGGAAGTGGTACCAAAAACGCTTAAACAGAAATCCTTATAGATAAATTTAAAATTTTCCAACACAAAAAAAAAAAAAAAAAATGAAAAATAAATTTAAAATTTTCCAAAAAAAAAAAAAAAAAAAAAAATGAAAAATTGTATGTTAAATCAAGTGTCCATTTGTGAAAATACTTACAAATTATTTTTTATAAAAATGATGTTATATCATCAGGAGAGAACCATAAGGCCATGTTTGTTTGGGTGGACATGAGTTTGGGATTGGACTAATAGTCCAATAAAATTATTAATCCGATGTTTGGTTAAACAAATGAAGTACGAATTAATTATTTTAAACTTGACTATTAGTTAAGATAGGATACATAATCCAACGGATTCGTAGTCTTAGGACTATTAGTCATGGGAATACTAATCCAGTCCGCCCAAACAAACATGATATATGTGTATATAAAAAAAAAAAAAAAAAAAAAAATTTACAAGAAGCATATTTATTTTAACTTTTTTTAGTGTATGTTAGTGTTTATTTGGGAAAGTATTTCTTAGTTTTCTATAGTTATTTTTGAAATATAATAATATAGTTGACAAGTTCATTTTTCATATTCATTGTAAAGAAGATGAAATATATTTTACAAAAAAAGTTAGAAAACAATAGATTTTACATTAATGCTAAAAAAAAAAAATCACATTTCTAATTTTTTTTTAAATATTCAACAAATATTTTTTTTATTAGGTTCTTTTAGTCTGAAAATTTTTAAAATAAATTTTTTGAAAAATATAAAAAAAAAATTATTAAAGACAATAAAAGGCCAAATTTTGGACTTTTATTTAATTGACAAACCAAGCTCACCGTTGGCAAATGGCACATAACCAAAGGCCAAAAATATTTTTAAAAATAAATAAATAAACAAAGGAGTTTATCTTTGACACGTTAGAGCATCTCTAATAGTTCATCAAACATTTTCACCAAATCTAAGAAAAAATATCACCAATTCCTTTATTTGATATTAGACGCTCCAACAGAGCTTTCATCAAACCACACGGCAAGAGCAATTTTTTTTTTTTTTTTTATGCCTTCATTTCTATTGTCGTCTGATCCCTTTCTTCATCCATTTCCTTCATCTATAAATAATAATAATAATAATAATATCACATGGAGATGAAGGAGGGAGGTATACCAGATAAATATTTGGCCACAACAATCAAATCAATCATACATGAACAAACTACAAGTCCAAATTCAATCAAGATGCATAAGAACAAAATTATAAATATACTAGATATTGCAAGCGTGAGGACGCCATCACCGATCACCATACAAGCCCCAATCAAAGCCAATACAAGCAAACATTTATGAAAACACTCTATGCCTCTCTAGTGTAGGTTTCAAACTTGACCCAAAAGTGGTTGGAGCAGTACAAAGCAAATGTGCCCCCTTCACCATTATCATCGGCTCTGAGCACAATGAACACATATTTAAGAAGAGGAACTAAAGTTAGTGTCCAAAACACATAAGATAGAACCCCAAAAATCTCTTCATTGGTCTCTGAGTGTGTAATGTCTTCAACAAAAATATTTTTGTATACATAAAGTGGAGATGTGCTCAAATCTCCATAGACAACTCCAAGGCTCTGATAAGCCAAAATCAATACTATCTTCTAAGATTCTTTCTGCAGCAGATGATGATAAACTGATCAAACCTATACTCATGGAATTGGAATTGGAATTGGAATTGGAATTGGAATTGGAATTGGAGGTAGAGAGTGGATCAAAGATAAGAATTGAGAAAGAGAACATGATGGAAATGGATTCAGGGGAAAATGAAAATTGAGTAAAAAAGATGCTGAGGTGGTCGACCAGTTAGTCGACTTGGGGTTGACCGGTGGGTCAACCTGTTAGTGTAAATTTTCACAATTTTTTGTCTTAAAGCGGTCATCCAGGGGGACATCCAGCCAGTCGTCCCGTGGGTCCAACTCAACGGCTATGCACAGTAAATTAGTGAAAGGGGCGAGCCATCCTCAGTTTGGTGAAATGTTTGATATTTTCTCATTTTGATACCATTTTGGTACAAGCGTTGGAGCACCAAAAGTACTTATTTTTCACCAAATTTGAATTTGATGATGGATTTGGTGAGTGGTTGGAGATAGTCTTATGCTTTATACATCACCATCCATATTCAATCCTCGTTATATATTTGCTTTATGCAAATAGATTCCAATAGATTCCACCCAGTCTCATTCACAATTTGATTGAAGTATTTTAGATTCCTCTAAATATTACCAGACAAACATGTCATATTACCAGTCTGTGCTAGAGACATATTTTATTTTTTAGTTATTGTTATTACTAATTATTAATTATTATTATTTTTTGCTCAGTGAGATATTTTTAATTATTTAGTTTGGGTTAGGTGATTTGCTTAGTTCTCTCAAGCTTTTCAAAATAAACTGGATTATTCCTATGATTCTTACAAAATAAATTATCTTAAAATGTGAAATAATAGTTAATTTTTTTATTTCACACTTATTCTTGAAGTTATTCTCTAAACTTTTATATTTGTTAGGCTTATTTATTTTGATGGTTTATTTAATTATGTTTTTAATTTGTTTGGAAGAGAAAAATATAATCAAATTTTATTTTGATGATTTATTTGAAAGAGAAAAATAGAATCAAAATTTATTTTGTCCCATTATTTTTCACCTAAACCTTTATCCTAAATGTTATTAGAATGTATTTAATATTTGATTAAATCAGGAGTTCAAACAGCCCAAAATAGAGGTTCAAACAGCCCAGCCCAGCACAGCAGCAGTTCAAAAGGTTCAAAAGGTTCAAGTGAAAGATATTCAAATTTGTAATAATGGAGTGGAAGATATTCAAATTAGTAATGATGGAGTACAACGGCTATAAACGGCTATAAATTCAAATGACTACAACGGTTATAAATTCAAATGAATACAACGGCTATAAACGGCTATAATTTTCATTATATATACCAAAGCCTCTAATGTAAACAAGTTACCAAAAAATCTAAAAATATTTTTTGATCTATAATCACTCACATCTATTCTCAGAAATTATACACTGAGCCTTATAGCTTTAAACCCATCTTTCCTGTGTGAGGTTTACAGAAAAACCAAAGCTTCATTTTTATATCTATCTTTGAGAGATAATTCTTGTAGCTTTCTGTAAAAGCAAAAACATCTTCTTTTCAACCTTGTAAGAGTGTAGTACACTCAGTGTTCTTGACTTAGAAAGTCTGTGTAAAATCCATGGAGGATTGCTCAATTTGTAAAGAGGTTGCTAGCACCCCGTGAAGCTAGAGCATAGTGGAAAATCTCAAGTGAAGCTTGAGGAGTGGACATAGGCCGGGTTAAAACCGAACCACTATAAATTTGTTTATGTCTCTCTCCATTATCTCTTTATTTTATTTAAACTGTTGTAACTATATTTCACATTTTCACTGTGCTAAAATCATTAACTGACATAGTTGTTAGAACACTTATTTTAATTATTTTTATTTCATTAACTATATTTATCTATTGTGCTAGTCAAAATTTTTATTAGGGTATTATTAATTTTTAATTGTAAAAACCTAATTCACCCCCCCCCTCTTAGGTTGTCTTTTGGGTAACAATTGATATCAGAGCCTAGACTCTTGTTTTAGATTTAACCATCTAGAAGTTTCGATCCATGGCAACCTTAGCTGAAGGACAAGCCACAAATAGGCCACTATTGTTTGATGGAAACAACTATAGCCATTGGAAGGATAAGATGACCTTATACCTACAAGCTACTGTTTATGTCATGTGGATTATTGTCATCAAAGGTTCAAAAATTCTTACCAAATTTGTAGACAATATTAGTGTACCTAAAACTGAAGATGAATGTGATGAGAGGAATCATAAATTATTGCAAGCCAATGCTAAAGCCAAACTCACTTTTATTTGTGAATTAGACTCTAAGGAGTATAATAGAATTTCAAGTTGTGATTCGGCAAAAGAAATTTGGGACAAACTTGAGGTAACGTATGAAGGTACAAACCAAGTGAAGGAATCTTGTATTGATATGCTTGTTCATAGTTATAAATTGTTTAAAATGAACTCTGATGAATCTATTTCAAGTACATTTATTAGATTTATCGAAATTGTAAACTCTTTGAAATCTCTTAGCAAAACTTGTACTAACAGTGAGTTGGTAAGAAAAATTCTTAGGTGTTTACCAAAGAATTGGGAAGCAAAGGTCACGGCCATTATAGAAGCCAAAAATCTCTCCACACTTGGATTGGATAAGTTTATGGGTTCCCTTATGACTCATGAGATCACCATGAAAAGACATGAGGATGTTGAAAACAAAAAGGAAAGTGGAATTGCATTCAAAGCCTCATCAAATGAAGAAGAACATGAAAACTCCAGTGAGGATGAAAGCTATGCCATGTTTAGTAGAAATCTCAAAAAGCACTTCAAGAAAAACAATTATGGAGGAAGAAGACCATTCAAGAAAGAGTACAACAAAGATAATAAGAAAGAGCCTATTATTTGCTATGAGTTCAAAAATCCTGGACATATGAAGAAGGATTGTCCAAAATTGAAGAATCATGGAAAAGACTACAAAAGAAACAAAAAGGCCATGGTAGCAGCTTGGGGAGAAAGTGAAGATGAAAAGAGAATAACAAAAAAAAAAAAAAAAAAAAAGGCTATGGTAGCAGCTTGGGGAGAAAGTGAAGATGAAAGCTCAAGGAATGAAATTGAAAATGAAGCAGCCAACTTGTGTCTCATGGCTCTTGAAGATGAAGACTCTACTCAATATGAGGTAACTACTCTTTATGAAGAACTTGAAAGTGCATTCCACGAACTACAAGATGAATTTAGAAAAGTTTGTGCCAAAAATAATGTGTTGAAGAAATCTGTTGCATCTTTATCTATTAATGTAGAAGAATTAAAGAAAGAAAAAATTGTTTTGAAAAATGATTTTGACACCATCGCTAATGAGAAAACTGCTTTACAAAACAATGT